TTTGTGACGCTTTGAAAACTCGTGAACACCATTTTTATCACTTTCTGAACAATTTACAGAAGATTTTGGCTCTCTTCAAACTCGAATAAAAGACTCGTTGGCTATATAAAATAACACACAACATTAAAATTCAAAAAATAAAAAGAAATCAATCATTCAGCAACAAATGAGATCAATATCGTGTTATTTCAAAGTAAAGCAATGGTTTCCCGTAATATTAAAAGCGTTTTCAATTTTTATTGATATAAAGTGCTTTTCGACTTGTCAAATGGTTTTAGACCGTTTTCAAGACAACAGTATTTCCCAATCAAACAACAATGTATAAACTCACAGCCCTACAACGACTTTAATGTTGTTAATATTGCAGACCTTGACTACAAACAAAAAGAGATAATAAATGAGACATTAGTCTGCCACAGCAAAGTAATGACAGACTACATTGTGCTTGATCCATTTAACGAAGGTTTAAATAATCATATTTATTCAGAAAAAAAAATAAAGAACTATGTAAAAAACAAACCCGTCTTAACGAATTTGTAAGACTGTTCCCCCATCTATCATCTCAACCAAATTCATTGGAATTTAAAGTTTACAATGACAATAATTGGAAGAGTATCTGGCTTTATATTGTCTTTGGTTAATTCAAGTGAGTTTTGTAAATGATAATTCGTGGCTTTAATTGTAATCATTTATTTTTTTATTGAAGTTATTTTTTTTATAAAGATCACATTTTTTTCAGAAAAGCTTGAACACATTATTTCCCTTTTTGTGTTTTTTAAATTTACAGTCTTTTTTCCCCTCAATTCCCTTCATTTTTTGGAAAACATCGAAAAAAATAGCATAGAAATGTTGTCACTACTTTAGCTTTACCGTCCATTTATTGTGATCGAAAACTGGGATTATAGAGAAATACAACTATTGAACTTTAAACATTTTCAGAAAAACGGGTTATTTATATTTTGTCACCGACTTTATTCTCCATCTGTTACGTTGAACACATTTGAATAAATCAACCAACCGCCAAATCTTATTTTAAACATCCAGAGCTTGAAATATAACATAAACAAACACACTTGTAACATTTTCTATTTTCTATTTTATATTATGTTTTTCTTTTTCTAAAAAAACACAATGATTATTGATATCAATTAATTTCAAGATTTTTTTGTAATAATCAACAAACAACCCTGAAACTGTTCCATAATGACGCTTCTGAGTCGAAACCGTTCAAAATGGGTTTGATAATTTTCATTTGAAGTGGTGTTTTTCCAGTTCTCTGTCGCCAAGATCACTGGTTTATAAATTCAAATTTATATTATTTAACATTAAAAAATCATTGTTTTTTTCTTTATATTTTTAAATACTGTAAAACCTCCCAAGAGTGGTACCTCTGAAGAGCGGGTTCTCCCAAGAGCGGGCATTTTTCAGACTAAAACTAAAAATAGAGTTCTCTAAAGAGCAGTAATTAATGTTTGATTGGCTAAAAATGCCTACTCTTGAGAAAACAAAATTCTCACACCCTCCGGTTTTTGGCAGGTTTTACTGTACTTTTTTTTAAATATTAAAATATTACACTTATTGAAAAAGAGGGGAAATGTGTATTGTAATACACTTAAAAAACGATTTAACAAACTAATATTTAAGTAGCACTATACGTTTATCTATCTGTTTATAAGTCTCATGTCTAAACAATTCACAATTGAATTTAATATATATAAGACACATAATGGTTATCATAAAATTTTTTATTTAATCATTCGTAAAAAAACAGAAAAACAGTCGTGTTAAAAAACATGTCTACTCGCGATGTTTTCTTTAATTTTAAACATGTAGACACTATCGGCCAATTTTTATATTTTTCCAAAGTCTTTCAAAAAATATAAATTTTGTCTTTATAACGTTAAAAGATATCTCTCAAAAAGTTCACATTTTTTTCGTGAACGCATACAAAAGTTCAAGAAGAAGTCAAACAAAATTTGTGTTTGGTTCATCTTGCTTTTCTCTTTTAAAAATTGAATCAACTTCGTGTAATTTATGTGATAAATGTGTAGACCATTTTCACCACAACCTTATAAATACATCGCAACAAAATTTTATATGTTATCTTCTGCGAATGTACTATAGGCTAAAGTACTTTTGACCAAAGCGAGAACGCACTTTCCCAAAGACCATCAAAAATGATAATAAAATTACAATAAACGAAACAAATTATAATCAAAAAGAACACTGCGTTTTGCAGACTCAAACATCGAATTGTTGTATAGCAGTTGAGTAAAATTTATTCATAAAAAATTGTCTTTTTTGTGTAGACATCAGTTTGCTCTATGATTAAGTACATTTAATTATATGAAAAAAAACTCCCGACTTACAGCAAAATTCTTTAAAAAAATATTAAAAAAAACTTGGGTTGTTTAAAGTATATCCTGTTATTTGGGTAAATAACAATATTAATATCACCATTTAATAAAATGATTGGCTAAATGTCTTTGAAATTATTTATGTTTTTTTGTTGTGTTATTGAAAATAGTTTAAATAATAGTAATATTTTAAACGTCCCAAATTTGTTTTTTTAAATACAACAAGGAAAATGAACCTCAGCCCAGGAAATGTTCTTTAGCCCAAAGAAATTCATATACTTTCTTAAAAAACACGGGTTTTTACTAAAAAAATATTTCAGAAAATTGACTTTTATGTATGTATAGTTTATTATTTTAATATAACAATAGAAAATAATTGGGTTTTTTGGCTAAGGTTAATTTGCTGGGCGAATGTTTAATGGCCCAACTGTAAGTGAAATATATAAAAAAGTTTAATTTAATTAATAATTAATAACGTTTTAACACTGACTTTATAATAAAACCTTTTAATTGTATAAATGACTTCAATTGGATTTTTGAGGGCAGGCGGTAATCGATATCTTGTCAATAAATTTACATGATCTGTTCTTATTTATAGAAAATTGTTGTCACATTGACAATTGTTTAATTAATTTATTTTGAATTCCATTTTTTAAAAAACAAAAAATCCAATATTTTTTTATCAATTAAACAAAGTTTGTAATAAAGACAACGTTTATCGATTAACTTTTTTCGATATGATGATTATTATTAATTAATTTAAATTATAAATAAGAACAAATAGTTCATGTTGAATTTTATGTGGTTAGACAATCGTTGTAAATTAACTCAGATTTAAATTTTTGAAAATTATTTAATCAACAGTATGTCTAACCATATTTGTTTATTGAAGTTATAATTGGATATTTGAACAATAGTACAAGTTGGTTGTTTATTTTTCAAATAAAAAGTATTAATATAAAATAATATATTGTAATTAAATATTAAAATTTGTTTAATAGTAATTTTTTAATATTGACTTGGAATCCAACAAGTACTCTATCTATAAGTAAAGTATGATGAAAAGGCATCATAGTATTTAAAGTTGGGTTTTCAACTACAATATGTATTAAATTATGTTTATTCTCTTTATATTTATATTCGTTTCTTGTGCAATAAACCCAAAAGAAGCAGGTCCTGATGACAGCATTATATTACCCGAAAATCTTGTTACAATTATACATAAACATTATACCGAGTCATTTGAAATAATCAAACAATTAAGGGGTCTTTATACTGATACGGTTGGATATTCATATCTATACGAAGAAGGAATGGCGAAAGCAGTCGACGAAATGCAATCACTGGAAGACCAACTTATTAAATTACTCGAGAAAATATTGAATACAAGACGTACAACAAAAAATGAATTTATACAATTATGTCTGTTACTCTCCAAGATTTATAATTTACATGAAGTTCATCATGGTTATGGCAAATACATCCTTTTACTTCGAAATAATTTGGAATCGATTTCTAAAACAACACAGATAGACGCGAGAATGAAAACTCGACTCAAATTGTATCTCGTGTTGGATTTCAATTGGTTTCTTAATCGTCGCAGTATGTTAAAGGAGTTGTCATCTTTCATTGGTTTATTAAAAAGTGGACATTATCTTAAAGCACAAAATTTAGTTATGGCTTTGGTAGAGACATTAAAACAATATCCTTCTGTTGAAACATCACAAACACAACTACGAGAAGAATTTCTAATCCCAAAGGTGCAACAACCAGAGAAGCCAGAAGATCCAAGTGAAAAACCAAGTCTTTTAAAAAGAAGTAGTTCAATAGGTGATTTAATTGGAAAAGAGCTTAAGAGAGAACGTTTGAGAAGAAGTCTATCGCAACCAACGACAAGTTCACAAACACCAACAACAGCTGGTGGAGTTAAACCAAGTAAAGATAGTGGCCAAGAAAAAGGAGCTCCAACAAAGGCGGAATTGGAAAAGAAGAAAGAAGTTGAAATTCCAAAAGATTTAATGAAAAAAATAAAAGAAATTATGGAGTGTTTGGAACAGATGATTAAAAACCTTAAGTCACTCAAATCGTTCTCGTTCCAAAACCAAATTTTATTTACAACACAATTTTGGGCTACGGCGGGTATGATGGAAATGAACATTGACGATATTAGAAATTTGTTGGTACTTGTTGAAAAGAGGGGTCATATAAATATAGAAATGATGGAAGAATGGATGAAGAACATGGCCAACCATTTTAATTTACAAAATTTGAAAGCTGGATTTGGAAACTACATATTTTATATTTCCAGAAATATCGAATATGTTAATAAAAAATATTCTGGAAATGAAGTGATGTTGAGAAAAATAATGAAAATGTTGTTACTTAATGATGAGTGCATCGAACATCTGTTAGAACTTGTCGACTTATTAGCAACTTTGCTTCAAATGAACAACGATGATGCGTTTGTCAACAAAAGATATAAATTAGTTGATCTTTTAATGCGAATCAAAACAGAAAATACACATCTAACATTAAAATCTCTTTCTACTGGCAAAAGTGGTGCCAAATCAACAGAAGCTAAAAGGTCTCCAACAACAGAGAAAAAATGATTTGGAATTAAACACTTTTAATTCAAAAACCAGCTACTTTTAAAGTTATTTTTTATCATGTTTTGGCATGGAAACAATTAATATATATATATCTATATATATAAATATATATCAATTTTAATATATTATTAAATAAATAGTTGAACAATAACGATTATAATTGTGTATACACAATGATTCATTAACATTGTATTTTTAAATAATTTTTAGTACATTTTCTCAATTTTGTCATTTTATCAACAGTTTAATTTTTAACAATGTTTATACAAATTACACATTTAATTATTTAGTCATTAAATAATATAATAAGTTGTAAAAAAATTGTTAAAATTCGTTTAAAATTTTGACATGTCATTTCCTTGTATTTCGAAAGAACGTTTTGTTGAGTAAACGTCGAATGGGTTCATCATAAAATTTCAAAACTCCAAAAGCGAGTAAAATGGCTTGTGCAGCTGTTGTGTTCATATGCCATGATAATACCTTTTTGTCGACTTTTTTATTCATTTTCGTCCATTCTCCAACTTGGAACATGAATAGCCAATGTGTCAAATACAGTGGGTAAGCTGCTTCCCCACATAAATTAAAAATTTTGATAATTAATTTGCTTTTAATTTCTGATAACGACCCAATGGCTAACGAAGCAGGTAATAAAACTACAAGTGCAAAATTTTCAAAATCGCCGTTTTCATTTCCAAATGGCCAACTGGGATCAAAACAATATGCAACACACAACAAAAAAGCAGAAAAACAAGACCCAAAAGGTATTACAAGTTTTTTGTTGTAAATTTTATAATAATAGTTGGACACTTTTCTGATGATATATTCCATAATAATTCCCATTACAAAGCCATAGAGTACTCTTATGCAATCTAAATACTCGCCACATTTTTTGTTGAAATGTTCGAATAAAAAGACAAACGGTTTGGTATCAATCTGACTGCAGAATTCCTTTCTAAACTGTTTTTTGGTCGAGTTTGTTCTAGTTTCTAATATATAGTACATTATACAAATCAAAACAACAATATTCAAATATCTTAAAACAAAAGCATATAATAAACCACATAGATGTTCATATAAAAGCGTCCATTGTGGGGGGTTAAGTGGGAATAATCTTCTTATATTTGGTAGATGGACTGGAATTGAAAAACATCCTATTAGCATTAAATACTTGAACTCTTCATTATCCATTTTTGATAAATATGCATATGAAAATGCTCCAACAAGTAAGGCACCAAAAAATTGCATTGGTAATAAACGTAACAGTCTTTTAAAAATGAAAATAAAAGGGTTAAAGACGTTTTGATTTTCTAGGTCTGTTTTGAATAAACTTGTTTGATTTAAAGTTACATTATGATTGTTATTTTCATTGACATACAATCCAATTAGAACTTTGGACAACATTTTTTGAAATGCAACCAAGATTAACATATAAAGATATTTAAATGGCAACATTATATAATGTTCGATTATTTCGATAACGTAATAATCACGATTTTGTGAGTTTGAATGCGACATTAAAAACCCCGAAAGCATAAAGAAAAATTCAACTGCTAAATGACCATAAGGAAATTGCTGTTTAAAGCGAATTGCCGAGTAAATTCCATAGTGGTGACTAAATACAGCAAAACAAGAAATTGTTCGAAGAAGTGAAAGTGTGTTGAAATACTGTCGTTCCAACACTTTGTTTAACATTTTTGGTTGGTTGTCGTTTTGTGTTTTCGATGAACTTTGAGTGTCGTGTTGTTCAAAATCAGTTATTGTTGGATTTTCAATAATAGATTTGTTATGATCGTTGCATTTGGTTTCACAATCAATTTCAATTGTTGTTTCTTTTGTGTCGTTTTTGTTGTAATGAAAATATTGTTGTTTATTTGGTAAATTTGGTGTATCTTCGTTGTTAATAGACATTTGGTTTCAAGATGCTTCAATTATATCATCTGATTTTCGATTTATTTATAATATATTGATTTATAGTGTTATACAAAACCTTTTTAACATTTTAAATATAAAGGTTGGTTTTTTAATTTTTATTTTAAGAAATGTAACTTACATTTTTGTAATTTTTAAACGTTTCCATGTTTTGAAACAATTTAACAAAAAATATATTAAAAAACAATGAAATAATGTATTTTAATTGTCTAATTTTTATATTTAAATAAATATTTTTTTAATAATTCCAATATAATGTTTTGAATTAAATTTTGAAAAAATGAAACAATTTTATTATTATTTATTATATAAAAATGACTTGTTTACTATACCTAGGGTCCGAATGACCAACTTGGTAATTTTGCCGAATTTTGGTTGGGTTTTATCAGATGCAGACACCAATTTTTTCACAACCAAAAACCGAAGATAAAACCGATTCAAAAACTTAAAAAGGGGTAGCTACTTTTTGTTTCAAAAATAGTTAATAATCCAAAACAGCTCATTTAAAGAACCGAAAGAAACAAAACCTAATAATGTCTTTGTTTAAAATATAAAACACAAAACTGTCTCAAAAAAATTATTATGATCAATAAGGAAAAAAAAGACATATCAAATTTTTCAAAAAAGAAAAACCAAAATAATTGTTTTCAAACCAATTTATAAAATACATTTTGAACAAGTTGTGATGTATTGTAAAAATAATTTAAACAGCTTGTTTTATTAATTATAATTAATAGTTAATATCT